ACTATCATATTTTACAATTTTACTTTCAATTGTGATGAAAATATTTTTCTCACTGACGTTCACAAAGCCACAGTAAACATAAGACATGTACTACATAAATAAAACATGAATCTACAAATAGAACTATAAATTTAACTCACATGGAAATTTTAGGCTGAGGAACGTAAATGCCTATTAAAAATAATACAGCAGATTTAAAAGAACTGCAGTTTAGAATCCTGTCAAGTTCTGCATTATAAGGAGCAAAGTCAAAGAATGGGCATACATATTTTGAGCAAAGGAAGAGAGGTACATGATGCAGAATGAGTTGATGAGATGGAGACACATGGTTATACAGGAGACACATGACATCCACAAGTCAAGAGGCCTATAGAATGGAAAAAGAAAACAAAATATAGAAACGAGAGAATAGAGCTAGCAAAGACAGAAATAAGAGAGATAAGCTTTCATGGTACCTTATGCAGATTTTAGGAAATTACCACCAAATACTTTTCAAATTAGGACACATTTCCCCCACCATAAGCATAAATGAGGATTCAGCTTTGATATTTGCCTTGTGAATTGGATGAAATTAAGCTGAGGGCCAGATGTTTTCCATCTGTGTTTTAGAATATGCTAAACACAAAATCATTAGAGAGCACCCGTATGGCTGAATGGTTTAACTTTTTATTAAAAAGACAGGTACACCTAGCTACGGCCTCAGACTTTGGGTGATTTTAGTATATTTTGATATTAGAATTTTGACAAGTGATGAAAACAATTAGATGTGAGGGAGAAAAAACCCTCCCACTTCATTATAGGCAGCCCAAATCTTCATAATGCTGAAACAACTTTTGAAAAGTGAAGGGTACATATTTTCCATATATCAAACTAGGAACTTAGTTTATTTCCCCTGAATTGAATCTTGGTATTAGGTAGAAAACCAAAATAAGATTCTTGGTTAATATAGTTTATTATGTGTTGTGCAGAAACTACTGCATTTCACATACATGGACTAAATTAAGAATTGAGTGTCAAATACCCCACTGGGGATTATGCTTCAGCATAATCACTAAAGACATGGAAGGAAAAGTATATAGAGTCTAGAAAGGGAAGTCATCAAAATGTCAGCATGAAAATATATAGTATATCAATCATCGCATGCAAATCTACAATTGGTAGTAAGTTGTACTAGTAAAACTGAAACTATCGAAAAAAGTTGTGATGGCCCATAAGCTGTTTGATTACATCTTTGTTTAACAGTATGACTTATTTGTTAATAGTAAGGAACATTATGTAAGCTGTTTTACAATGTCCATAAACTAATTTGAAACACTGCAGATTCTTTAAAAACAATCAAGGGAGGAGCAATTGACACAAAGATCTTTATGGAAAAATGTGTGGAGTCCAAACATCACCAGAGAAAAATGTACTGTTTATGTATATCGGATACCACATCAATCAGGTTACCAGTATAGTGGCCCAATAATGAAATGTGTCCTTTTGGTGCATTAATCTAAATATAGATTTCACTGCCAACATACATCTTTCTATCTAGATTTTTTTCCTGGTTCATCAACTATGCTGGCACATACCCATATTTCAAAGCTGCCCTTGGTTTCGTACCCTTTTAAAGTCTCCCTCTATCATGTAAACCAGAGGTAGGTAATGATATCTGATAGAACATTAATATTACTTGTTTTGGAGTAGCCCTCAACTTGGGGTATTAGCAAACCCTCATTCCATTTACTAGAAAAACAGAGCTAGAGGGTTGGATTTGTTGATTCCACCACACAGATCATTTCCCAGTGAGATATCATCAATTTACTTCAACTTATCAATATTTAATGTGAAGAGCTAAGGCAAGTAAAAGCAGTTTGCAATTTTAGAGACCTAAACACCTTTGTAGGTGTTTACATGAATTTGAAGTCACTGCTACCGCTATAATAACATACTATGAAACTCTCACAGCAGAACCAAAATAAAAGGAAAACACTAAATGTGCAGCTTTAAACGGATTTCTTAAAAACTCACAGTATTAGAACAGAAACAATGCAGGTCAGGGTGAAAAACTGCCTTGTCTACAAATATCACTGTTTCAAATAGGTTCCTGCAAGAAGCCTGTTCATCAAGATTAGTTTTTAAAATGGCATGCCTTGTTCCATTGATTAACAGCAAAATAATTTAAAACAATATACACAATATGGTTATAAGATTTGAATTCTAACTGAAACTACGCTAACACAATAAGTGATACAGTTATATATTCTTTAACATAATTTACTTCCATTCATTACCAGAACTATTACAAATTAGTGGTCAAAGGTAAATTTGCACAATTTTCCCTTGAGAAAGCTACGGAGTATTGTTAATAAGTTCAGAAACACATAATTCCAAATCACCTAAATCATTGATTAACTCGATTTCTCCATGTTCTAAGTTCTTAATCAAAATGGTTCATTTATCAATTGTTAAATTTAAAGCAATCATATCACACTAATTTTAGAATTTCCTAAAATATGATACTTTGTTATATTTGCACACTACTAAAACAGTTGCTTTAAAAATGTACGTAAGACCATCATTAACATATTTTCAATTCGTTTTTAAAACTTAATGAATTGGGTGTGAGGGTCTTTAAGTAAAGCCTTGAATATAGTTGGTAGATTAAACTTTCTTTTTTGATGTCAGCAAAACTCTAAATAAAAAATAAATTTTAGTTTACATTTAATTGTCATGTTTCTGAACTTTTAACTTAAATTTTTAAAAACTTTCTGCTAACTGTACTTAATTATATATCACTTATGCATATTATTTCTGGCATATTGATTTATTTTAAATAGTTTTTAAAGTTCTAAGTTGTACTGGTTACAGTTTTATGAAACAGCATGTGGTAGCAGTTCAATTTTTAACAGCTTATAAAATCAAATACATTTCTGCACTGTCAAACTTCTATTTCTGATTTATTAGCTTATTTTTCAGTATAAACATGAAATGGTTTCCTACATTTGTATAATAATATCATATCATATCATATCATATCGGCTTTCTGGCTTCCACTTGGATAATTTTTCTAAAGTAATTGGAACACAAATTTGCAGTGGCACAGTAAGGAACAGTCTTTCAACTGTACCAAGTTAGCCTAGAAACTGTACTTTTACCATACTTTCTAGTTTGCAGGTTATTAATCCTTAATTATAAGTGAAAACATAAAGTCATTTTGTCATCAAATGACTGCTCTTTTAAAAATTATGTATAATGTATTTTTACATAAATGCCATATATTTTATCTAGTTCCTCTCTTAATAATCATAAAGATAAACTTATAGGGAAATTTTATCTTCAACATTTTATCTGTTTAGACACTAGATGATTATGGCTGTTAATAACAGCTCGCGAACTTATTTCAAAGTTGCCACTTTTCCCGCCAAGGGCATTCTCTTTCAATGAGAGAATCACTTCAACTTTTCTGAGTTGAAAATCAGAAAATTTTCCTGGTGGAAAATCCTCCACCAGGATTTCTCTTTCCCTACTCATCTGCCAAGAAAACCTTTCCTAGCCCTGAAGCCCATTCCAGGACAGGGCTCAGATGAGTTTCTGCAACCCTTCATAGAAAGTATTCTTAAGAATCTTGATTTAGATTAAGATTACTTAGATTAAGATTACACACTTAGATGTATTTAGTGTAACTGTATAGCAACCTTCTTATTACTATTGCTTGCAAAACCATCACACCCTTGAAAATTTAGCTAACCAAACTGTCCTTCCCAGGTAAAGACCTCTGAAGACTCATATGCCAATCTGTCACTAGGTAGTTCCAAAATCTCTAATGAGAGCAGCTGGTTCTAAGGCTTATCTCCCCAATGATCCTAATATTCTTTTACTACCTTGTCTCATATTAGAGTAAAATGCTATTTGTTAGAAATACAAAGGTAATTTCATCTCTGTTATATTGATGTTTGTGTTTTACTTAATTCTGTAAGTCTCCAGCACAACCTTCCCCTAGCTTTTAAGACCTTACCATTCAGTTTGACTTCAAACAAAAGGAAAGGTAACAACAATTTGTAAACTGTGAAATCCTATCAATTTATATACACTTCCACTGCCATGAAAAGACTATTCAGTTCCACTGAAATCTGGCATTAATGATGCAAGTTTAACATATTAACAAATATTCTTTGATAATTTTCTTTCTTTGATAATTCTAAATCAGAAGTTTAAGATTTCAGTTTCAGGTTTAAAAATATATATATTAGCCAACATCAAGTAGCCAGTGGAACTGAGACACTTGAAAAAATAACTGTAAACTTTTTTAAGAGGCAGGCAAGAAACCTAGATGGTAGTATTCCTGGCTCCTCCCTGAGCAAATCTTGGTCTACTTCAATGATTCAAAAGAATAAAACCCCAAGATACGAAATAGAACTAAACTTCCAGACCCAGCCAAAAGTCCCTAAGTGGCTATTGTGAAGCAAGACTGTTAAGATTTTCACAGCATAATGATTAAGAAGAAAACAAGCAAGACAACAGGGCTGAGGTAACAGCTTCTTCCCCCCAGCAAAGACCAAACTTGAAGGAGGGCCCCCAGTTTCCCTGTAACTCTCCAAAATCGCATCTGTGAACAGATCCTTGGGTCTCCAGTACCTCTCCAGACACCAGCATAACCCGTTGCCAGGAGGAAGCAAAGCTCTAGTGTGACCTCTCTTCCCACAGTACCACCAAATGGAAAGCCACAGGGAACTCGCCAGATAAAAGAACATGCATTGTATGTGCAGCAGGTATCAAAATTTTAAGAGAAGCCGGTCAAGTCCAAAGGCCGCATGATCTATCCTCTTTACCTCAAATCTGACCCTGCCCCACTTACTTACTTCCTCCATCCCTGAACCCGACACACTTGCCCAGACCCTTCCAAACCAAAGAGACTTCCGTAGGGGCAGCCTACAGGAGCTGTCTTCGAGGTGAAACCTGACCGTTTTATAAGCCTCCCGAAGAAGAAGAAAAGATCAAATGAGACTGTCTCGAGCTGACCCTGGAGTTAAAGTATTTATTTTCACGCAACTGCTGATTGCTTTACAGAGACATTTCATGCTGTGTAGCTCTGCATGGAGCTGAGAACAAAAGTAACATTTTTATTAATGTTATAATTATTATAATTATTCTTTTAACAAAGCTATTAAATAACCTGTACAAAGCCCGGCCTGGTCCTAGCAAAAACAAAAAAACCCAAAAAACAAAACAAAACAAAAAAACCCGAGCACTATTTCAATTCTCCCAAGGTCCTTCCGCTTTAATTCAGCAGTGTTTCCTATATATACAAGGTCAGCCCAGTGTGGTCCCCCAAAACTGTAGGTCTCCCACGCGGTGGCAATGGGTCAGAGCTCGCAACCGCCCTTGGGTGACGCGGAGCTCCCAACCCTACCTCCCCGGCTCCTCCTGGGCACAGGGTCCCCGTCGGCGGGCGGGAAGACGCAGGCGCCTGCTGGGTCTGCCCGGGGCCAGGTGCCCACAGCGCCCCGGAGCCTCCCCAGGAGGTGCTGGGGCCGGAGTCCGAGGCGGGAGGGGCCTCGAGTCGCCCCCGGGGCGGGGGCTCACAGGTCCCGCGGGTCTTCCCGTTTGACCCCGGCCTCGGCAACTTTGAGCTTCTTATTCTGGTGCGTCTTGACGTGCTTGGCGAGGTGGTCGCTGCGCATGAAGCGCTTGCCGCACTCGGGGCAGGCGAAGCGCTTCTCGCCCGTGTGAGTCCGCAGGTGCCGCTGCAGCTCGTCCGAGCGCGTGAAGCTCTTGCCGCAGAAGAGCCAGTTGCACACGAAGGGCCGCTCGCCCGTGTGCCAGCGCAGGTGTGCCTTCAGGTGCGACGTCTTGCCGTACACCTTGCCGCAGCCGGGCACGTGGCACACGTGCTGCTTCTTCTTGCCGGGCTCCGCCTCGGGGGCGCCGCCAGCCGCCTGGCAGTTGGGGCAGCGGCAGCGGCGGCACCTCCTGGCCGTGGCCGCCAGGGGGGCCTTGGTCTGCAGCAGCGCCGCGATCTGGCTCTGGTACTGCGCGAAGTCCGACGGGCCCAGCACCAGGCCCCGCTGCAGGGCGGCGGCGGCGGCGGCCGCGGCCGCGGCCGCGGAGGCGGGGAAGCGGGGTGCGTGGGGGGCCCCGGCGCAGGCGCCCGGGAGGCTGCTCCCCGGCACCCCGGAGGTCCCCGGGCCGGTGCCCGCCTGCGGGATACTCCACCAGGGGAGGTCGTCGGGGGCCGGGTTGGGGGACAGCTGGCGACACGTGGGCGGCGGGGGCGGGGGCGGCGGGGGCAGCAGGTTGGAGTAGCCGGGAGGCAGCGCGGCCTGCGCGGGGTAGGGCACGTAGGCCGGCGCGCAGCTGGCGGGCAGCGCCGCCATGCTCGAGGGCAGCATCTTGACGGGCGAGAACTCGTAGGGGTACGAGGGGTCTGCAGGGGGTGTGAGCGGCAGCTCGTGCGCCGCCCCGAAGGACGGCTGCAGGTGCGTTTTCTGCGGCGTGAGGCCCAGGCTGGGGTGCGGGGGCGGCAGCGCGCCCGGGGAGTGCGCCGGCATGTCTGCGGTCCAAGGGTGGAAGAGCCTGGAGGGCGAGCCCAGCGCGGGGTCGTAGGGCACCTGCAGGAAGTCCGGGGGCGCCGCGGCTCCGGGCTGGCCGATGCGGCTACAGGTGGCGGCCAGCAGCGCCAGGGGCGAGTGCTTGCCCAGGTCCGGGGAGGCGCTGGGGGTGCGGTCCTGCATGGGCGGCGGCGGGGGAGGGCGGAGAAGGGACAAAGGGTTAGCGCTCCGAGCGCGGTCTCCCGGCCGGCCCGACGCCCCCACGCCGGCTGCTGCAGCGCCGCCCGCCCCGGCCCGGGGCCCCTCCCCCGCCAGCGCACCCACGCACGCACCCACCCGGACGGTTAACTTTGGTGCCTGCGCTACCTGAACGCGGGGCGCCCGAGCGCTTCCCGTGAAACTACTCGGTGCCGACGGACGCCATCCGGACTCCGGGAGAGCAGGCGCAAGGTGGGCGGGGAGAGGGATCCGGCGCGCCGCTCCCGGCTCGGCGGCCCGAAGGGGGGCGGAAACCCCCACAGCCCCGCCGCCCGGCCGCCCGCCCTCCCATCTTTTAAGCTCTTTCCGCGCGACTCTCGAGCTCCTCCTCCGCCCGCCCCAGGCTGCAGGTCAGCGGGAGGGCCCGCCAGGGTGAGCCCGGGCCCGGTTCTCAGCCAGGCGCGCGAGTCCGAACCCCCGCCCCCGCCCCATCCGCGCGTCCCTCCCCCAAAGGCCACACTCCCTCCAGACACCCAGGCTAGGTGCGAAGTTGACGTGGGCACCCCTCGGGCTGGCGCTAGCGGCATCCACCGAGCCGGGGTCCCTTTGAGATTCAGGGTGCCCAGAATTCGGGGTGCACCGATCCGGACGCGCCCCCCCCCCAGCTTTCCCTCGCCCCCTCCGAGCCCAGACCTGACCTGGAGGAAGGCCTGCAGAGGGTCATTCCGGAGGACGGCCACGGCAGCCATCGCTACTGCCCGCGGGCCGCTGGCTGCGGAGCAGGGCGCTGCCGAGGCATGGAGGCCCGAAGGCGAGGGCGCTCGGCCGCGCGGCGCCCCCCGGCGCCCTCCCCGCGCTCCGGGGCCCTCCCCGCCGGCGCCCCTCGCCGCACCCCGCTCGCTCGGCCCGCGCGCGGTCTGAGCGCTTCAGGATCACCTCCAAGAATTTGATAAGGACTTTGCTGGGCCGCCAGCCAGTCAGAGGGAAGATTTATGGCTTTGAAGTTTGCCGCTACCCAATCATCAAAGAATAGCGGCTCTTTCAGAAGCGAAAGCAAATCCTTTGAATCCACAAAGCTCCTATGGTGTGTTTGTTGGTCGGGATAAAAGAACTGATTATTAGGGGGGATGGGAAGGGAGGAGATAAAGGCGGGACAATTAATGAAGTAATCACTATGTGGGAAATGTATATACACAAATAATTGGATTTTCCTGATCAAAGGGGGCCTTGCCGCCTGGAGACCCGCGCCGGGGTTGCTGGAGACACTCGATCCCCCACCCCCACCCCCCGCAACTCCTTTGCAATTAAAGATTTGCACCGAGGCAGCGCCCAAAGTGACAAAGTGTCTTTGTTATCTCCAGAGAAATCTGCCTTTGGCTTCCAGGCGCGGGACCCTGAGACCGAGATGAGGGTAATTCGCCGCGTACTTACACACCCCACACCCGCGCAGCACACGCAGCGGCCCGCGCACACCGCGGACCGGAGGGAATCCCGGGGGCGGGGCGGGGGACGCACCCCGCCCGCCCGCCCCCGGCCGCGTGCCCCCCCCCGCCCCGCCCCGCCCGTCGCGCCGCAGCCGCCCGCGGGGCCCTGACCCGGGGCGGGGCCGGGCGGCCGCCCAAGGCGGCGGTGGGTGGCGCGCACGCTCCCGGGCCGCCTGCCCGACAAGCCACTGTGGCCCTCTGGTGACATTCCTGCTGGCGACCTGGAAGTTTTCTCTGGCCGCAACTTTTGCAAATAGCCTGGGAAAAGCACCGGTGCCGCGCTTACCAGCACAGCTAAGCTTGGCGGGACACCCAGGGCCAACCATCATACACACCAGAGGGGGAAAAACAGGTTACGTCGCTCTTGCGTCTTCAGGCAGGCAGCCCGGGACGCCGTGGAGGGTCGGTCAGGCAGCTGACTGCGCTTAGGCCCCCGGAGCCCGGCCGGGGCGGGCAATCCGGGCCCCTCCAGCGAGTGCGCGCTCTCTGCGAGCCGCACAGACCTGCCGGGAGCCACTTGGAAAGAGTAAGGCGCGGTCGAGGAAGCCTTTTGTCACTGAGCACAGCTCACACTGTACGAGGGAGGCCCTTCAGCCGGAAAGAAAAGCCAACACAAAGTGGGCTTCCTGGCACCTTTGGAAAGAAAAGAAAGTAGAGGCGCGTGGCGTGCGCCCCGCGTCGGGGAAACTGTCACCCCAACCCTCGCTGGCGCGCACGCCCGGCCGCGGTCCTGCGGGGTCGGTGCGGACGCGGGGACCTCCCCACCCCCCGGGGGGGCGCGGGCCGGAGGAAGAGGCAGGGGGGCGCCGCGGGGTCCTCACGGCGCTGGAAGGGATCAGGGGCCGGCAGGGCGGCCGAGGCCTACCCCCCGCGGCCACGTGAGCGAGTGGGCCGCCTGGACAGGACCGACCCTGGCGGACCCCGCGCCACGCCCGGCCTCCCCGCAGTTAGCGCCTCCTCTCTCCGGGGCCGCGGGCCGTGCGGGGCTCCCCAGCCTTCTTGCGCCCGCTCCGCTGGAGGCCGCACCCCGGCGGCGACTGCCTGGGGACCACGGAGCCTGCGGCCCAGCTGCGCTTAACCCCGCTCCAACGGGCTTCGGATTCGCAGGCTGCGCTGGACCTTGGTGGCCTCTGCACTGCCGTCAGGGGTCGGGGTCCCCGCCACCAAGCCCACATTTCCACTTGCCTGGGATCTGCCAGAGAAATAGCAGCGTCTTGCGTTAGAAGAATGGGCCACCTGAGGTCTAAATACTAGGAGCGGCTCAGGGGCACGGCCCACCCCCAAGGTGCCATCCCAGAAGCGACGAGCAGGGACCACACAGCTCGCTGGGCCGAGGCTCCTGAAGACGAGGACCGGCTGTTCTGGGATCGGGGAAGGGCAGGGGACTTGGTGTTTTGCTCCGAGGCCTGGCAATCTCCCCCCTCCCACGCTCCATCCACAGGTCGCGGGCCTGTGAAGCCGGAGACCCGGGGGCGCCCTTCCCCGGACTCAAGTCTGAAGCCGGGACTCCGGGGGCGCACACGGAGCACGCACACCCCGAACCGTCCGGCCCGGGTCTGGGGCTCAGCGGGCGTCCTTTCCGGGCCAGGCTGGGCCAAGAAGGCTAGAAAGCATCTCATTTGCCGACCCTGTTCGCTATCGTAACGCAAACGCGAGAAAAGCCAATTCACATCTGCGTAGTTGTCATAGGAGAGAACTTTTTCTTCCAAGATGCCCCCGTTAGCCCGTTAACCCACCACCAGTGGCCAGGAGACGGCAGAGAGTAGTGCTTGGTGGTTAAGGGGTCGGACTCAAAAAAAAAAATCCGAACCCAGATTTTCTAGTTGCCTCTTTTAGTTGGTGACCTTGGCAAGCAAGTTACGCAACCTCTTTGTGCCTCAGTTTCCCAACTGGTAAAATGGGGGTGATGGTGGTGCTCATCTTGTGGGGTGTTTGTAGCCTTAAAAAGAGAGAAGATAAAAAAAGAGAGAGAAGATAAAGTCTCTAGGGCATTGGGGCGCACAGGAGGCCCTCCCTGGACTGTTCCGAGACCTTGCTGTCGGCCTCCCCTCCTTTGGGGAAAACCCGCGGGGACGGCAGCCCTCCCGTGCACGCGCTGAAGTTTGGAGAGAGACTTTGACTAGCTGCTGTTGAGCTTCCCTCCCTTTACAGCTGAGCTCCTGAAAAACTTAACTCTTAATGAAGTAATGTTCTGTTCGGAGCAGCGTCCATTAAAAATGCAATGCCAGGAGATCAAAGTACAATATTTATTTTAGAAATTTGTTGCAATCACCAAGAGATACAGGTATCAAGGCCAAATGTCAGTTCCGTTACACAAAGCCCCGCCGCGCCCGGGAAGAGAGTGTGGCTGCTGCGCCATCACGTAGGGAGACATCAAAGGCCGGGCGCGCTGCAAAAGTGCGCAGCCGGGAGGGGAGGAGTGAGCCCGGGGGGGCCGCGCGCCCCAGACGGCGCGGGGGCTGCGGGGCGGGGGTCAGTTCAAAGAGGCCTCCGCTGGGGCGCGAGTTCACAGGAGGGAAGATTTAATGGGCTTTCTTTTGTTGGTGGGTGTGTTTGTGCGCGGAGGACCCACTAACTCCTCCTTGGTCCCCCGGCCGCAGGGCGGAGGGGCGGGGCGGGAGCGGCGAATGGGGAGCAAACTTTTCCGCGGCGGGGGGCGGGGAGGTTGATGCGGGCTCCCCGCCAGGTTGGCTGCGCAGCTTCTTCCCCGGCCCGCGGGCTGCGAGCGCCCACCAGGTGCCCCCGAGGAGAGGCGGGCAGCTGCGCCCGCACAGGCTCTCGCACGGTCTGCGGACCCGCTCGGCGCGCTCCGGCTGCGTTCCCGCAGGGAAGTGCTGACAAGGACCTCTGGCTTGCTGCTGCGCGCCCGAGCCTGGTACCTCGGATCGGGCTTTGTTTTTTTTTTTTTTTTTTTTTCAACAATCGGGGACTCACGCTTCTGGGCTCAATCCAGTCGGTCACCTTTTTTTTTTTTTTTTGCAGCAATTGGGGACTCAGCTTCTGGGTTCAACCCAGTGGGTCACCCATCTCCAGTTGATTTTTCTTTCTTTCTTTCTTCTTTCTTTCTTTCTTTCTTTCTTTCTTTCTTTCTTTCTTTTTTTAAGATCGATGCATTATTGAGGACACTTCAACAAATTCTTAATCATTGGCTTTTTGCAGCAGGGTGGTGCTTAACCTCCTCTACTTCCTTCTCCCCCCGCCCCCACACACCCAGTTCCTCGCTAAAGGCTCAATCTTCCAGTTGCCCGTATCTACCAAGTTAATACCAGTACCAATCGTTGCTTTATTAAAGGTGGTGGGAGGGGAGGGGTCAGCGTTTCCCTCGTGCTAATGGGGCACTAAGTCGCAGGAGGATGCCTTGTGCATTTCTTCAGTCATCTACAACCAAGTATTCTTAGAGCAGTCACTCGGCAGCCTTTTGAAGTCGTGCTAGAGCAGAAAGCTGCTATTGTTTTCAGCTCTCAACATGGAAGGGATCAAACTTTGCCTCTTCAATTTGAAAGGTTTTTTTTTTTTTTTTAATGGTGGTGGGGGAAGGGGTTGCAATCTGATACTCTCTCGAAGTTAACTTTGAGGATTTGGAGGAGTCTCGCAGTTTAAGCTGCAGACCAAATCACAGCCTCTCCAAAGCTTGCGTCTGAGACAGGGGCTGATCACTGACACAGTGGAGTGCGCGTTCAGTCGCAAGAAATCACCATGCTGGGAGTCTTTGGAAAACGCTGGCGTGGTTTGAGAAAACTTCCTCACCTGGAAACCTTGAGTTAACTTTAAGCTTAAACTTCAAAACTGGATCAGTATATAATGGATGAAGGAGTGGAATTCTAGAAGGGGGTCCTTGACCTCATCCAATTGGACTCCCTCGGTTGATGGCAGGAGACTGAGTGTAGGTGATGTATCATGCCTGCACAGGGCTGTGAACTTCGGTTAACAGCAATAAATGCTCACTGGTGTTGGGTGGTAGGATGGAATTGTGTGTACCAGTGTCATTTATATAGTGTTTGGTGTCACAGAGCACACAAATACAGTAGGGACTCAGAAGAGAGCACTGGTGGGTGGCTCAGCGGTTTAGCGCCCACCTTCAGCCCAGGGCATGATCCTGGAGACCCAGATCGAGTCCCACATAGGGCTCCCTGCAGGGAGCCTGCTTCTCCCTCTGCCTGTGTCCCTGCCTCTCTTTCTCTTTGTGTCTCTCATGAATAAATAAATAAATAAAAATTTTTTTTTTTAAAGAAAGCACTGGTGAGGGCTGGAGTAGTTAAGGGAGGCATACTAAGGAGCTGGGGTTTGGAGGAGTCTTTTAAGGACCTATGGGATTTTTTAATGGGGTGCATAGGAAGGAAGACA